CAGCACTAACAACAACAGTAGTAGCAGCAGCAGCACTAACAACAACAGTAGTAGCAGCAGCAGCACTAACAACAACAGTAGTAGCAGCAGCAGCACTAACAACAACAGTAGTAGCAGCAGCAACAACAGAAGCAACAACAGAAGCAACAACAGAAGCAGCAGCAGCAGCAGCAGCAGCAGCAGCAGCAGCAGCAACAGCAACAGCAACAACAACAACAGCAGTATAGCAACAGCAGTAGCAACAACAACAACAACAACAACAACAACAACAACAACAACAACAACAACAACAACAACAGCAGCAGCAGCAACAAGAGGAGCAGCAGGAGCAGCAGCAGCATCAGTAGTGAGATATCCGTGCGTGCTCACAGCGCGGGGTTGAGATGCCCTGGTCGCGTGTGGAGCGTTCGGGGGCACTGATAAGTAAATCTTGCCCTCCGCGACGATTTCGCCCGCTATCGGTGAGATAAAAGGAAGCTGGCAGACGCCGCTCGTGTTTGCGCAACGAAAATCGTTCTCCGAGCTGACACGCGAGAGAAAGCAAGTGACTGCAGCTCGCTCGTACGATTAGGATTCAACTGCTGGCAGCTGTTATCTAACTACTAACCAGTGTGTCGCGGGGCTTTCTACGCTCTTCCGAGTCTCGAAGTTGTTGAGTTTGAGTTCGAAATAATCGGACTTGACTTAATAAATTTGAAAATCGATCTGTCAATATGGGTTTCTCTCCGCTTAATGGGATTTCTGTTGTAGCGTAAGCTCCGAACGTTATTTGCTTTGAATAGAGCGGAGAATTATCGGTGTTGGAATACTTGGAAGTGTATGCATACTTGCTTGCGTGTGTGAGTGAAGCTTGGCATGCGTGCATTCGTACGTGCGTGCGTTCGCGCATGCGTGCGGTTGGGGGGGGGGTAGGCTCCGCAAGCCAAGGGCAGTCTAAATTGTTTAGATGTGTCCGTATGCTTCCGTACTCTGGTGTTTTTTTCATGATGATTATCGTATATTTAGAAGTAATATTGTTATGAAAAGAAATATATGCCAGCGTGGCAGTGGCATTCAGGACATTTCAAATGGCACCAGGAAAGCAAAACATGGGGTGCTCTCAATACCAGTTGGAATCGGGGTGCTGTTCTGCCTACAATCAGGGTATATTTTAGAAACTATTGCCCCGTAATACGTAATAATCGCAGTGCATAATTAGTATGGAAATATGTCGTTTGCGAATATGACCTGGTTAACTCACAAGCTTTAATGGTTCCCCTTGTAGTAGCTGAGTATTGTACTATTGTACTATTGTAGCTTACACTGTATATAATTGCAGTGCAGCTATGAAAATGTGTTCTAGGGAATTTTCTTTTTAGTGCAAATGCATGTAGGCTACACATATAATAATAGTGAACATTTTGTGTATCACTGTGTAATCTGAACGACTGACAACATTTTCCTACATTTATCTACTTCTGATATTATTCTGCGAGCCATTCCACATGCTTGTACTCTATAGTCACCTACTGTGATGCACAGATACGTCTGCTGCCTGTAACAATAGGCAATTATTTAACATAGTTATCTAATTGAAATGAGGACATAATTGGATTTTTTCTTTCCGATTTACCGTAACATTTATCACTGATTGCAATAATTAAAAATTCATTCTTTCGTGCAAAGGTCGTTGATCAACGATGAATTCTTCTACATTATTAATGTGCTGCAAAGCGAATGTCCGTATCTTTGTGCTTTTATTACAATTCTGTTTGTAAGTCATTCTGTTAGTGACGATATTGGAGGTTGTTGTTTGAAAAGCGTTTCTGGTCAATTAGGATGGATATTCTAGAGTAAAAATGAGTGCGTGTGTGCGTGCATGTGCGCGTGATATCTGATAGTGAAATCTGCATTAGCATGTTCACGTCTAATTATCTGTATTGTGCAACAACAATGAACCAAAATACTCTTCACTGCTAACGAACATGCAGACGAAAAGCGTGTGTCCGGACCGACCATCGTGCGATAAGCTAACCTGTTAACATTTCCTAATTGCAGCAAGCCATCGAGAGCAAGCTGGTTCCTGCGCATGAGTGGTTGCTAGATCCTAATGCGATCCGCGGCGGAGTGGGTGAGTAGTGACGACCCCCCAGTGGGAGGCTCGCCCATATGCGCCCGAGATTCATCTTCTCTCTATCTACATTTTTCTGCTCTTTATAAATATTAGATCATCTGCGACCCCTGGTATCTTACTGCGTGAGTCATACGGGAGCCTGTCTGTTTCACTACTGAGTCCCTGCTGCCGCTGCTAGGCTAGCTCGGGCACGCCGCGTGCGATGCGTAGCGTTTCTTTTTCGGCGAAACGTAATCGTCTATTCCTATGCGATGCGATGGTTTTAACTCGTTTAGCGTGCTAGAATATTTGCGAGGATCTCTCGCGGGAGCGTCACCGCTCGATTTCCTCCGAACAGCCGTTTAGTGATTCCGTTGTCATTTCGCTGTGGCTCATTTCCGTTTCAATCAACGTGCGGAATGTTAGTCGAGCGTGTTAGCTAGTCGAGTCGTCGCTCGGCTGTGCGATGGAGTAACGTGCAGATGTTTATACGGGGTCTGTACGGATCCCGGAAAACGTAGAAGGTAGTGGAATTTTAAATCGTAATTTTCCAAGCGTGGAAAATTCTGGAAAACGAGCTATGGTTCTAAAAGTCGTAGAAAATAGAATATTATTGTGTTTCGCCCTAGAACGACCCCTGAGATATATCTCGCATCGTTCGTGTCCGTGAGGCAATAAAATTTGCTTCACGCAAGAGTTTGTTCACTGATCGTTGATTGGAAGATAGGAGGCGCGAAGATTGCATTTGGCTAGAATCTCACGGTGATGTAAAATGAACTTATCTAGTGCTGGAATGCTCTGGGAAAGCTTACATTTTTGCATTAACCTAATGAAGCGTGGTGTAAGCTCACTACATAGTTAGTTACCTGCAGGTGTTTGCACGTATATACGATGAATAATTATACAATAACAATTATGCAATATACATTTTGATGAAATAATTGAATAATATTTATTAAAATAATAATAATAATAATAATAATATTCATGATATCAATAAGGATGATCTTGCTAACGACAGGTGAGAAAGCGATTCGCTCGATCCTCGAGTACGCGCTGCGCGTCGCTGACCGATGCTCACCAGAGGGCGCTGACCAGATCCGCAAGACCGTCGGCAACATCAGCACGATGACCGACACGCTGGCTGACCTGCGCGCTCAGGGCAAGGTAGGAGTCGAATATCGCGCTACGGCAGGTGTCGAAATTTCGTGTCCAGAGCCGGCCGTTGGCAAAACGTGAGGCACCGAGTTGAAAGGCGCGACGCTCTCCTCGCGATTGTTTAACGTTCGAAACAGTCGTTATGAGCAGTTTCGGCTCTCGGATGTAAAATAATTCGCATTTTCGGTTTGCGCCAATCGGAATTGGATGCAGTTGTGTGCACGGGATTTTAAACGAGGCCCCTGAAGCGCGAGTCCCCACGTGCCTGCTTTCCCTCGCTTTACCATGAGGCTCGCTTTACCTCCTCTCCACCCGTGCGCTCGCTCGTCTATTCTTCTTCAACAGTGTTTCTCTCTAGCAGCGCTGTTTCCAGCGGAGCGTCTGCTGTAGTCGTTTCTTTTCAAACGTCGCTTCCTCCGACGGCATTCTCTCCCTCTATTCGTCGTTAAGAGCGTTCTCGTGTTCTGCCGTTGACGGTTCGGGTACGCAGAGTGCATCTCGAATATCGGGGTTGCCTATGGGCGACACAGAGAGAGAGAGAGAGAGGGAGAGAAGAGAAAGAAAGAAAGAGAGAGAGGAGAGGGCGAGAGAGAGAGAAACAGAAAGGAAGAGAGAGAGAGAGAGAGTGTGAGAGAGAGAAAGAGAGAGAGAGAGAGAGAGAGAAAGAGAGAGAGAGAGAGA